GGAAAAGAGTTGAAGAAGAGAATAGTCCTGGCTGGGTGGCTTAGTTGGAGCATTGTCCCATACACCAAAAGGTTGTGGGTTTGATTCTCAGACAGGGTCCATACCTGGGTTTTGGGTTCAATCCCTGGTTGGGGAGATAACTGATCAATGTTTTTGTCTCCCCCTTCCTCTTTCTCTAATATGTATCTATATCTATATCTATATCTATATCTATATCTCTATCTCTATCTCTATCTCTATCTCTATCTCTATCTCTATCTCTATCTCTATCTCTATCTCTATATCTATATCTATTCTCCAGTGAGGTTTAAAAAAAAAGAAGAGGATAGTCAATCATTTCAAATGTCTGAGGGAAATGAGAATGATTGCTTTGTGCTCTGTCTCTTCTTTGTGCAGACTGTGTTATCCCGACACATTATTTAACCTTTCTTCTCCATCAGTCTTGTCTAAATCTGCTCTCTCATGATGAGAGGTGAACGACTTAGCTTCTTGTGTCATGCAGAAGCTCAGCTTCACTTGCTGAAAATGCCTGCATTAGCTCCCCAGTTTAATGATGGCAAAGGAATTATCTGCAGTGTCAGGGATGCAAACAAATTTCTATCTAAAGTGTAAGGTGAAATTTAGAACAAAGTCATTTAAATTACTTGTTGGGAGGACTGTTCTTCCTTCCATATACAGTAATGGCAGTAATAGCCACCAAGAACTGAGTGTCCGGCATGGTGCTATGCATTTTTATGTATTATTTTATTTATGATACACAAGGAGCTTGTCATAGAGGCAAGAGAACTGGGCTTAGACAGACTAGATTAACAAGCAAAAATGCATAAAACTTTTAAAAGTCACAGTATGTGACAGTACTGGGATATAAACTGTCTATTTTAAAATCCCATTTTCTGCCCTAGCCAGTTTGGCTCAGTGGATGGAGCCGTGGCCTGTGGACTTTGATTCTTGTCAAGGTCCCATACCTAGGTTTCAGGCTTGATCCCTGGCCCTGGCCAGGGAATGTGCAGGAGGCAACCAATCGATGTGTCTCTCTCACATCTCCCTTCCTTCCACTCTAAAAAATCAATGTAAAAATATCCTCAGGTGAGGACTAAGAACAACAACAACAAATTCTCAGGTGAAGATTAACAAAAATATATAAATAGATAAAAATAAATAAATCCCATTTTCTAACCACTCTATTCTAATATTTCCTAGTGGGTGATATAATGCAATAGTTTTCACAAGTGATAAATAGTTTTAGTTGCATTTAGAAGATACACATTATTTATTTTAAAGCAATAACTTACTATGTCTTTGAACCTTTCCACTTTTGGGTAGAGGTAAGAATTGAATTCGCTGTATTCTTTGCATACAATACTGCTATGGGCCTGTAGTGGTCTGGCTTAATAGCAACCATCTTAAATACTTTTAGAAAATTCACAGTGACAGAGGGACACAAGTCTCTAGTTTGAGTATTAAATATGAGAATAGTTATGATGCTTGATGGTATTGGAATAAAAATTGTCTTATACGGGAGAGTGTGGTGTGTGTATTGTTTTTATTTTAAAGAAAACAATACTTTAAACTAGACATTACCACTCTCACTTCCTGTCTTTCATTTTACATGATTTTTTATTTGTTATTACACAAACTGTGAAAAACCCAGTTTCAAGACAATATGATCATATGAAAAGGAATGTAGCTTGATCTAATGTTAAAATTGTGAATTACCTCAAAATTGTGAATATCTGTGTTTTCCGATGGTCTGTGACCCACAAGCTGCCGTAGAGACTAAGACCATTGGAAAACACAGATATTTACATTACAATTCATTAACAGTGCAAAATTACAGTTATGAAGTAGCAACAAAAATAATTTTATGGTTGGTGCTAACCACAACATGAGGAGCTGTATTAAAGGGTTGAGGCATTAGAAAGGTTGAGAACCACTGCTCCAGAGGAATCTGGAAATTCTTTAAGAAAGAAACATTGGCCCTGGCTCGGTAGCTCAGTTGATCAGTGTCACCTGATATGTCAAGCTTACGGGATCGATCCTCATCAGGGCACATACAAGAATCAACCAATGAATGAATAAATAAGTGGAACAATAAAAATCAATATTTCTCTCTATCTCTCTGTCTCTTTTTCATTCTTTCTCTCTCTAAAATCAATCAAAAAAGTTTTTCAAAAGGGTGAAACCCTTAGAGCACAGGGCCTCTTTGAGTTACTTACAAAAGTATCTTTAAAGCTTACTTAGAAATGATGTCTTAAATGCTAAATCAGAGTTAGCTCGCCCCCTCCCATCCACAAATATATTTGGGCTTAGAGTTCAGATATTTTTAGGTAGTTTGGTAGGTATTTGTTTAGGCTTTATTTGGTTTAATTGAAAATAAAATATGCTGATTGTTCTACCTTGATTCATGTCAACCTCTTCTGTGACTTAGTTTCATTCTCTTCATCCTAAAATCCAACATTGGATGTGACATTACAATATGATCTTATTTCTCCATCAAGTTAATTTTTTAAACTGAGTAATGTTGAACCTCCAATCAAAATAAATTCTGACAAAAATCTCATGGGACACTGTGATGCTCATTTTCATACACACACACACACATACACACACACACACAGGCACAAATACACAAACATACATATATTGCCTTAAATTTAAATATAAATTTAGAATTTAATGGAATGCAGGGTGGGGCAAAAGTAGGCTTACAGTTGTGAGTATGTGAAATAAGAGGGTTTTTTTGTATTATTAATTATTATATTATTTTTCCATATGAACAACTGTAAACCTACTTTTCCCCCACCCTGCATTTTTAAGTTTAACTTAAAAAAAAAAATCAGTATAATCTTCTATCCTTCCTTTCTATAATGCTATTATTTGTGGACACCTAAGAAACAAATTGTCACTTTTTTTCATCTTATTCTCTTGCACATATTACCTTAATTCAGTACTCTATCTAGATTTTCCTTTTTGTTGAATAGAGGTAAGATGTGCCTATGAGGGATGATAGCCAGTAGTAAGATGAAACAAGAACCATTGTTCATTTGGGAATAAAGAAATTGCATAAAGAGTTTGGGTGGTTCTGAATTGGGGACAGATTTTTTTCCCAGAATGGATCTTCAGAAGTAGCAAATAAGGCATAGAAAGTAAATGAGTTGGATCAGAGATCTTGCTTTATTCAATTCACTCCTCTCCCTGCTGGAGTTCCTTCTTCCAAAAAAAATAATAATAATAATCAATATTAAACATCGTTGCTTCATTCTGTAAAGAGTACTTGTATTCCCAGTTCCATTCTATTGCACAAGTCCTTCATGGGCATAGACTAAGAGCCTCTCAAAGTGTGTGCTGTGGAGACTTAAGGAGACAGTGATTGAGTAATGCATTGTGGGCTCAAGGAGTCTGCAGTGGAACTGGAGACACCGGCTGCAGAGGCTTCCAGCACATCAGAAGCAGTGCAGAGTAGGGCAGGGCAATCCATGGCAGAGCCATATGTGTACAGATAAGGAAAGAGTTGAGAGTGGGGCCAAGTAGTCAGGACAGGCTGCCAGAATGTAGGGTTTGGTACAACCTTGAAGAATTTAGGTAGAGAATAAGGGAGAGGGTATGTTCCAATGGGCATAGGGGTGCCATGAAATGAGTGGGCATAAAATCAGGAAGCAGAACTTAACAGAACCTAGCAAGGCATAGTTTTGAGCATATCCTGATCTTAGTCTGAGTATTCTTGACCTTGTAGATCAAGGAGTGTAATCTTGAAAATTCCATTGGAGTCCAGAGGATAAAATAAAGGAACCATTTCCATTTATCTACTTGGCAAACACTTGTTTTCTTTTTGAAAGCTTCTGTTCTCAATACTGACTGCCTTCTCCCCCCAACCCCCAAGCTACTGCTCCCTATTTTCCTAGGAAATGGGAGCAAAGCTCCCCCCAAATCCTGGCTCCCATTTTGTTCCTCCACAAAATTCTCCGTACAGCTGGATGGATGTGCTGTAACAAGGCCAAGTGTGTTAAGGAGTGTTTTGATGCAAAGAAACAAACATGGGATTTTATTGTAAGGCAATAAGAAAAATTACAATAAGAAAAATTAATCCACTTGCATAATATACATTTAATTGAATTAGAAATACTTTTTTAAGACTTATTTTTCTAAAGTTGATATACATACACAAATTTAAGGCAGTTTTTATGCTACATAATAAGGCAAAAGGTATAGCATCTCAGCACATTTTTTTTTCTTACTGACCATATCAAATGAACTAATACCAAAAGATTAGTCATATGATGTAGACCCTGCATTTCTGAATGTTCTGAGTTTTTAAGATGTTGCAGTATCTGTTTTATTACAGGTCTCCCAATTTATAACTGTTGGGAAATAGTCCAAAATTGCTTTAAATCTTGTGTGGGTCATATGTGTTAGCAGCCCAGCCTTTGAGTTTTGGCATCGATTGGAGGCAGGAGTGCATCCCTGAAAGTGTTTAATTAGGGAAATGATAGGGTGAAAACAGGGCTTTGAAAGGTGAAAGAGGCAGAGGTGCACAGAGATTAAAGTACAAGTTAAATTTCAGCCTTGACCACTCCTGCAACTTCAGCCTGGAATATACAACTGCCTATTCAACATACCTGCCAACAGACACCTCATATCAACATGTCAGAATCCCAAAGGACTTCCACAGAACCTTCACCTCCACACGTCAGCGAATGACAACTCCCTACTTTCAGTAATTCAGGCCAACAGTCTGGGAATCATGCTTGAATCCTATTACATCTGCATCCCATTTGTCATCTCTATTTCCAAATATATCTAGAAACAACTCGACTTTACCACCTTTAACACTACCACCTTCCATTGACCCCTAACTGCCCTCCCCTGCAGGCCTGATCACCCCCAACTGTCCATTCTTTCAAGCCTGGTCACCCCTAACTGCCCTCCCCTCCAAGTGGTTGGAATGGATAATCACAATGGAAGTGGATTATCATCTCCCCACTCCCAGCCTTGACCCCTGTAAATCATTCCTCAGTGCAGCGCTCGCCAACCGGTGGTCTGGGGACCATTGGTGGTCCGTGAGGTCCGAAAGGTTGGCTACCGTTGCCTCAATGCAGTAGCATCCTTAACCATGTCCTGTTAGTTCATGTTTCTCATCTGCTCACAATCCTTCAGTGCTAGTTCATGTTTCTCATCTGCTCACAATCCTTCAGTGCTTTCCTCTCTCATCCAGAATAAAAGGCTACATCTGCACCAGGTCCCTAACTGTCTGCAGTCTGGTCCCTGTAATCTGCCTCATGGCACACCAGCCAACAGTCTCCTTCCTGTTCTCCAAACACTTGCCAGAACATCTGTGCCTCTGCATCTTTGTCTTGCTGTTCCCTCTGTCTAAAACCCTCTTCTCCTAAATATCCTTATGGCTGGCTCCTTTACCTCTTTTTGGTTTTTACTCAGATGATACTTCTCAATGAGTCATCACTATCCATGCAGCTTAACATTGCCCTCCCACCTTTCTCCTTTCCTGCTTACTTCCTCTCCACGGTACTTTTCTCCAGCGAACAGAATATAAATGTATCTTACTTAGTGTTTTGTTTACTGTTACCTTTTCACTAGGATGTAAGCTTCATAAGGGCAAAGATTTTCAATTGTTTTTTTCTAGCTGCTAGCACAGTGCTTAGAAAACAATAAGCATTCAAAATTTGTTGTTAAGTGCAGGAATGAGATGAGATAGTCCAAACTGAAGTGATTTCAGTGTGAGTGGAAAGAAAGCAATAAATGCAAGAGACATGACAGAGAAGGACTCTTAGAGACTTGTTAAATCTGCGTATTCATGGGGAGGGGTCAAGAATTATAGGTTATTTCCTCACTTAACAGGAAGGCTGAATTGAACTCTTTCTCTGTTCAGAGGCAGTGTTTGTCATGGGGGCTGCAGAAACTTGGTTCTGGCTAGGGGCCAGTGAGTAATGTTGTAGGGAAAAATCACACCAGGTTCATTTCAGGATCTAACCTTAGGTGACTTGGACAAAGTGCGATTGATTGACATTTTTCTGTCAATGGGTTGATGGAGCCAAGAAGTGAAGAAAGAAGATGAAAGAGTTTCAGAACTATTGCCAGAGAGTTAGACGGGCTCTTAAAAATGAGAAAACCTTGCTTACCAGGATGTTGGCCAACTCTGATTCTTATCTGTGGGGTTCCCTGAGCCTTCAAAACCAGTTGAAGCCATTATATATTGTCACCATTTGACAGTTCTATCAATTGGGTAGTTTGTTTCCCCTCCCAGATCCTTATGCAAGGTCCATATTTACTTTCGTTTTTGTATTTCTGCTTTTCATACTATTGCTCCCTAGAAATAAAGACCATCTTTTAGTCTTTTTGATTGTGTCATGACTCTCAAAATATATATTCTTTATAACAGAGTTAATTGATTCCAAGGAATTATTTCTTAAGGTGATAATGATTGTGAAAACATAATATTCTGGTCTGAAACTTGTTGCAACAGATATGCACCAACCCTGTAAGAACAATGTTAATTTTCTCCATCTATTGAGTACTTACCAGAAATTCATGTGGAATGTAGAGTAAGTGCATTCATATGCAGCACTGATTCATGATAAATGTTGTATGCTAGAAGAAGAAGGAATCTTAATTTCTGTTCATTTCTATCTTAATATCTTGAGCTCTTATTATATCCAAAAAGTGAAGAACTAGCCTTGGATTTACAACATTAAAACTGATCAACCTGCTCTCCAGGTTTTTACAACGTTGGATACAGAAGAATGAATACAGAACATGATAAATGTGAATAGTATCAGAAAAGGAAAATGCTGTGGAGGTCTGAGGAAGGGGGACACTGGTTCCAGCAGGCAGGACAGGGAAGGTTGCAGAAATGTGTGGCATTTCAGGGCACAATTGAACAGAATGAGAGGAGGGATGGGGACAGGATTTAGGCTTTGGGAACAGAGATGCAAAACAAGCAGAAGACATCCAGGGAGTGATGCAGGACATTTTTTGGAAGCAATAGTCCAGTGCGGTTTGGCCTTGGAGCACTTCGAAGGAAGTGGCAGGAGAAGAGTTTGGAAAGGCGGTTGGAGCCAGACTCCTCATGTTTAGTGTCAAAAAAGGTGTCTGTTTTTGAAGCATGAAAGGGCCATTGAAGAGCTATAATAGCACATTGATGATATTTGTCTTTTGAAAGTAGATGCTGGTAGAAATAGAGTTTTTGAGACTTCCCTCAGGGAGTACTTAAAAAAAACCCACACATATCTCTGGATTCCACATAAAGTCAACATAGTAAAAGAGTGGCCCAGGGATGGGTATTCTATAAATATCTCAGATGATTTCCTTTTGAAAAATATGTTTTTATTATTTTAAGAGAGAGAAAGAGAGAGGAAGGGAGAGCTAGAAACATTGAGAGAAACATCATCTCCCAGTGAGCCCGAAACCTGTGCCTGTGCCCCAACTGGGATTCCACCTGTGACCTCGTGGTTCCTAGGTAGATGCTCAGCCACTGAACCACTCCAGCTAGGTGATGATTTCCCTTTTTTCCCAGCTTTATTGAGATATAACTGACATATACCATTGTGTAAGTTTAGGGTCTACAATGTGATGGTTTGATATATGTTGTGAAATGATTACCTCCATGACCTCACATACCGTATTTTTCGGACCATAAGACGCACTTTTTTCCCCCCAGAAGTGGGGGGGAAAAGTCCCTGCGTCTTATGGTCCAAATATAGCCTACACATATACTTTAAAAAAAAAGTTTTTTTACTTGCCCGGCTCTGTGTGGTCTCTGTGTGCTTGCCCGGCTCTAAAATGGTTCTAAATGTTGCTGTTTACTTTACAGGGTTGATTACATGTGTTTATGACTGTGATGTTGGGTTTTAATGCACATAAAATATTTTAGGACACTATTTGTTTCAGAATCTTTTTTTCTTCATTTCCCTTCTCTAAAAACTGGTGCGTCTTATGGTCCGAAAAATACGGTACTTATCATTTTTTTGGTATGTGTGGTGAGAGCATTTAAGATTTACCCTTTTACCAATTTTCAAGTTTATAATACAGTATTGTTAACTATATTGCTGTGCATTAGATCCCCAGAACTTACTCATCTTATAACTGGGAGCTTGTACCATTGTACCATCTCCTTCTTTCCCCACCCTCAGCACCCAACAAACACCACTCTAATCTGTTTCTAAGATTTTGCCTTTTAGGTTCCCCATATAAGAGATCATACAGCATTTTTCTTCCTCTGTCTGACTTATTTTCTTAGCATAATGCTCTCTCTTCTGGTGTGTGTGTGTGTGTGTGTGTGTGTGTGTGTGTGTGTGTGTACACCCTTCTCCTTCTTTATCCATTCATTTTTTTTAAATATGTATTTTATTGATTTTTTACAGAGAGGAAGGGAGAGGGATAGAGAGCCAGAAACATCGATGAGAATCATCGATCAGCTGCCTCTTGCACACCTCCCACTGGGGATGTGCCCGCAACCAAGGTACATGCCCTTGACCTGAATCGAACCTGGGACCTTTTAGTCCGCAGACCAATGCTCTATCAACTGAGCCAAACCGGTTTTGGCTCCATTCATCTTTTGATGGGTGTGCAGATATCTCTTCAAGGTAGTGGTTTCATTTCCTTTGCCTATACACCCATCTGGTGATTTCTTCTCCTGCATCACAACTGTGAAACCTGTTTTTGTCATTCATTCATTCATTCATTCATTCATCCATCTATTACTTAAAAATATTTTTTATTGATTTCAAAGAGGAAGGGAGAGGGAGAGAGAGAGAAAAACATCAACGATGAGGGAGAATTGTCGATTGGCTGCCTCCTTCATGCCGCACACTGGGGATTGAACCTGCAGGCTATGCCTTTGCCCTGGCTGAAAATTGAATCCATCACCTCTTGGTGCATGGGTTGATGCTCAACTATCAGGCCATACTTGCCCGACAAGGGTGATTTTTGAACTGTGATCTTTTTTTTTTTTTTTTTTTTTTTTTAACAGAAAATTACCTATGATAAATTCATCAGGTCTCTTCTTTGCCCATATGTAGGCACTCACTAGAAATCACATGTTTCTCATTCTTTTAATAAGAAACAGCAGAGAGGGCTGTCAGCTGACAGGATAGGCAGGATAAAACGTGTGCCAGAAATGCCCTGGTCTGAATGTGACCTCTTGCTGGAATGTCAAAAATACAAATGTTCCAAGTCTGTTGGCCCAGTGACCTTGATAAACAAAGGTCTTTTCTTTATAGAAACACACTTTTTTATTCCTTGTTTCTCACCACACACACACTCACAAACTCAAACATAAACACATTTTCTTTTTGGAATTCCTATGAATGTGTTAAACCTATGTGTATTGCTTTTATGCACAGTCTTGAAACTTACCTTTTGCCACATATTTGAAATGTAAACTCTTTCTTTTGGAGGGTGGCCTTCTTCTGCTACGAAAACCTCTGGACAAGTAGATTATTGAATAACCCATGACTTTGCCCTTCATCTGAATAGTTCCCTAAGAGGGATCATAAGACATCCTTCTGAAGCCTAGAGGGCTTGCGATCCCTGCGTGATCACAGAGGGTTTTCTTCCCCCCAGAACCCTGAAAGGTCACGGCCACCCTGAATGGTATCAAAGGAAATCACTCCTTTGCATAAGAAACCAAAAAAAGAAAAAAGAAATGTGAAACTCATTTGGGAAAATGGAACATTTACCCGTGAGTTGTGTGTCATATGAAGAGTATTATACCCCTCTCTTTCATTGACTGGATGACTGTGGAGATACCACTAAAACTGCTTCTGTGGTATAACCCCCAGCAGAAATGTTTTAGGGTCCTCGTGTTTGGCTCTGACAAATGCTCCGAGCACACAGGCTTCCACTCCAGCATGGGAACCATTGACCTTCATCCATTTCCAGTAAGTGCCTGTGGTTTATGGATCATTTTCCCCTTACAATCCGCAGTGCAAGTGCCAATATAAACATAGCAACCTACAAGAGAGTGTGGTAACTTGAGTTCAGACTCATCATCACAAAACCAGGAGCTCCAAGTTCAGTGTAAAGTGTTCTCAGAGGTGTGCTGACCTGTATGCTTTTAGACACATGCCAGTTTCAGCATTTTCTTCTAAGAGGAGTTGGCCTATTAAATTTACACCTACCTTTGTTTTAATTTGTTTAACTTTGTAAGACTCTGAAAATAAATTCTGAAGACAGAATAAAAGGCCTTTGATCATATACTTCTGGGATTTTTTGGTTCAGAAAATTTAAAACCAGTTTTCATTAGCTGTCTTTAGCAACTACTAGTGGACAGAGTGACAACCAGTAGGATTTTGTTCTCTTTTGTTAATCAGCTGAAATACCTGTAACTTTTTGTTATAAGCTCTGGTCTGCAACATGATTTTACTGCCCATATCATATTGTCTTTCATAATTTTTAACATGCTGGAGAAAGGGAGGGAAAATTTAAGTGCCAGGTAGTTCTAAGATACTGTGCTGGATGCTTTACACATGTTAACTTGTTTCATCCTTATGACAACCTTTTGAGCTGCATATTCTTGTTGCCATTTTGCCAACGAGGAAGGCTAAACTTAGAATGTTTAATAATCTTGCAAATATTCGTTAGAAAGTTATGAATCAGAGCAAAACTGATTCTAGCTGATTGGTCTTAAAAAAGACCAGTAATCTTTTCCTCCCTTCCTTCCTTCCTTCCTTCCTTCCTTCCTTCCTTCCTTCCTTCCTTCTTTCCTTCCCTCTTCCTTTTTCCCTCTCTTTGTTTCATAGGGCTTTTTTATCCAATAGATTGTAGATTACTTATGATAGAGATCATCTAGTTTGTGTTGCATTCCTAGCATGTTATCCAGAGACTGGCATAGACACATACATGTCTGTTATCTGTTCCCTTGAGTTGGAGGGGACAACTCCTGGTACATAAACCTGGAGGAGAACTAGTACAGACTGTTAGTTGAGAATATTCAGTTCTCCTAAATAACTGTGGGCTCTGGATTAAAAAAGTTTAGATGTGAATCCCAATCTCCAAAGTTCATTAATTTGTTCAATTTCAATAAATTACTTAGCCTCACCAAGTCTCTTTTTTTTTCACTTTAAAATGGGGATAATAATTGTACCTTCATGATCATTTCTGTAAGTTATATTTCAGATGGTTAGTAACAATACAATAAATGCTAGTTATTACTATTATCCTTAATTAGAGTTCACTGTAGGTACTTTTTAAACATACTACATTATTTATTATATTTTTTATTATAATGTATCATCCCGCTTAAATGTAATCTCCATGATGGCAGGAATACTCATGTTTTAATCATTGTATCCCATGTATTGAGGAAAGCGTTATCCAATAGAACATACCATGATAATAGAAATGTTCTGGATTGGAAGTGTGTAATGCTGTAGCCACTAGCCATTGTGGTTGTTAAATACTGAAATTTTACTAGATAGTGTGACTGAGGAACTTGGTTTTAAATTATAATTAGTTTTAATTACTTTAAACTTAAGTAGTCATATGTGGTAGTGGGAGATTATATTAGCACAGTTCTAGACTATTACATGGTTACACAGAAGTTTCAATAAATACTTGTTAAATGAATGAATCCTCTCTAGACTCAAAGATAAAAAACAAAGTAGCATGATTGTGTAGTTAGCTCATTCTTTAAAGATAAACAGTGAAGCACTTTACTGAGTGATCGGCTCATACCAGAGGCCTCATAAGGTTTATATATATATATTGCTTATAATTGCAATAAGTTTTTTATTTCTATTTCTTTTTGGTAATAGGTCAAGAAAGATTTGGAAACATGACAAGGGTCTATTACCGAGAAGCCATGGGTGCATTCATTGTCTTCGATGTCACCAGGCCAGCTACGTTTGAAGCAGTGACCAAATGGAAAAATGATCTGGACTCCAAGTTAAGTCTCCCTAATGGCAAACCAGTTTCAGTGGTTTTATTGGCCAACAA